ATGAATGAATGGAAACCCAAAATCTCTGTAAATGTTCATTAAAATTAATAAAATTTAATAAAAACAAAACAAAACAAAACAAAATGTCATCACAAGACAGAGAGAGAATAGCTATCACAGTACTGGAAATTACAAAAATGCATGAAAATGTGATCCAGAATATCAAGACCAAAATTGCATAAGTTTCCAACATGCTGGAGAGGCAAAAAAGCAGAACAGAAGAGATGAAACAGAGAACCAGTGAGATGGAAGTCAAGAACTTAACGGGAACATACTAGAAAGAAAAAAAGGGAGGAGACAGAAGGAAAATTAAGAAAACATAAGAATCAAGCGGGATAACATCAAAAGAAACAACATACATATGATCAGAATTCCAGAACAAGAGCAGGGAAAACATTAAGAAAATTGTGGAAGAGGTCCTACAGGAAAACTTTCCAGGCATTATAAAGCATCAGAAAATCCACACCTAAGAAACCCAAAAAGACTAGACCCCAAAGAAAAAACATCAAAAGATATCATAGTCACAGTCTCCAAAATCAAGGATAGGACACAAAAAGCAACACAAGAAAAACAAAGTCACCTACAAAGGAGAACCAATTCAATTAAATTCTTATTTCTCAGCAGAAATTATGCCAGCAAAAAGACAGTAGGGTGGCATATACAGAAGAATGAAAGAAACAATTGCTAGCCAAGTATCCTATACTCAGCAAAGCTGCTCATCAGATAATGAAGGAGAAATTATTTCATTTGTAGAAAGGCATGAACTAAAGGAATTTCTTAAAAGAAGACCAACTCTACAAGAAATAATAAGGAAAGTCCTTTACACAGGGACACCAAGGGGAAATGCAGAGACCACAATAAATCAGAAACAACAGAAAATGAAACAAAGCACATCAATACATTGCCTACAAAACTAGGATGCAGTCACACAAGAGAAATCCTATGATGCAGTCAGAAGAAACTATTTTGAAAAATATTCTAGAAAATGGGAGAGGCTAAAAAACATTATGCTGAGTAAACTAACTCAGTCTCATAAGGACAAACACTGCATAAGAAAAGGAAGAGGAGGGGGACTAAAGAGTTGAGGATGAGTGCTGGGAGAAGAGGACACATGGGATAACAGGGTCACAAAGTTTGATGGGCAGAGGGAGGTGTTAAGGAATTAGGAAAGCTCCAGCAGGGACCTGAAAAGATGGGATGATTGTGGACATAGATCAACAGTGATTGGTTTTATAAAATGCAATGTATGAAATGCAATGTATGCAATGTTTCATTTTATGAAACACAATGAAAACTAAGGTATATGTGAAATATAATGTATGTGAACGGAAAACAACGTATATGAATTTTGTATGTAAACTAATATAAAATTAACAATACATATGCTAAATAAAATGTTGCCTACAAGACACACATCTAAGAAATGAGGAAAAAGACTAAAAATCAAAGAGTGGAAAAAATACATCAAGTCAATAGTACCCACGAAAAAGCAGGAGTGGAAATAGTAATCTCTGATAAATCAGACTTCAGGATGAAAATCATCATAAAAATATAAGAAAAGACACCATATAATGATTAAAGGCACAATAGATCAAGAAGACATAACCTTGGCAACCTTGCACCAAATGACAGATCTGAAAAATATAAAAAAACAATGGTTTACAGACTTGAAGAAAGAAACAGACAGCACCACAATCGTAGTAGGAGACTTTAACATACTCTCTTACCAAGGAATATGCTGTTGTTGTTGCTACTGATATGTACCATTGAGTAGCTTGAGACTTACAGCAACCCTATGTACAATAGCTCTAAACCTTGTCCCATCCTGAGTCAGTCTCACCATTTCTGACACACTTACCCTGATTACCCGAGTTATGGTACCATTTCATCTCACCCAGGGTCTTCCTCTCATGCACTGTCCTTCCACCATTCCAAAGAAGACATCCTTCTCCAAGGACTGGTTCCTCCTGGCAACATGCTCAAAGTATGTGAGATGGCACTTCAGAGTAGCCTGGCTTCACCCTCTCCAGAATAGACCTGTTTATTCTCTTGGCAATCTATGGTACATTCAATACTCTTTTCCAGCACCACAGCTCAAAGGCATTGATTCTTCTTCTATCATCCCTAGTAATTGTCCAGGTCTCTGATGTATAGCAAGCAATTACAAAGATCATGTCTTAGATCCAGCAC